CTTTCAACAAGGTGGCGCAACAATCGATCTTTTAAGTGAAAATTTTGCGGACCACCTATCTCTCGTGGAGATTATCGCACCGAGATCTTGTGATTTAACAACTAGCCACTATTTCCTTTGAAGCCACCTGAAGGATACCAACAACAAAAATAGGCCAAAGTCGATTGATGACATCAAAGATGGTGTTGTGAATGGACAGCTAGAGGGGAATAACAAAAGTTCGGTCAGTTGGTGACTTTCAATTTTAAATTTTGTTAAATCTAAAAATACCACAACATTGGCAATTACTTTATTAGTCTTCTCTTCAAATTTTAGAGGATCGGCTGAAATGGAAACGAGAAAACGCAACTTAGTTGAGAATAGGTCAGACAAAGTTCCACCACCAACCTAAGCAGAAACTCGCCATGTGATTCTTTTCGAATTTCGGCGTAATTTACAGCGAATTAAAATATTCAGTGAATGAAAATTGACCAAAATCTTCCTCTAATGAGGTCACTGTAGCTCTGGTGATATCCAAAACTAATGAAGGCTCACCATTGACAAAAGAAATGGTTGCCAATGAAATGGGCTTGAATACCATGGCCATGGTTCTATAAGTACGATCCCGAAATCAAACAACAGACCATGGTTTGGAGCTCGTAAAATCTAAGAAAAAAAATCAGCAGCAAAAGTAATGATGGCAGCTTACTTTACCCGATCTAAAATCATAGCTGCTTTTGCGAACTTTGGTTAAACCTTCCGTATATGGATGGGGGTACATCATAATCTGCCGTAAGTGAGTCCCAGCTGTTGAGGACGTCATGAAATAGACACATTCGGATCTTGAGCTACACTTTCCCTCCCAGTAGCAATAATTTAGGTGAAACTAACGGAAGGATGATGGACAGACCTTGCAATATCTATAATCGAAACAGCCTCTTAAAATTACAAAAAACAATTTAACCAATGACCAGCTGGGAGTCAACATGCTTTTAGTGGGTTTAAGAATTTTGAACGCGCTGTGTGTTTGCTGCGCGCTGAATTCTCATAAATGTGCGACTTTTAACTAAAACAAAACATGTTTTGTATTTCAGTCAAGTTTGACAGAAGTCAAAATACAACACTGTACTTTTGAAAACACAAAATGTATAACCCTATATGTGCTTATAAGCCATGGTCGTCATCAGATATGCCATTTCATTAGCATAATTTTATAGTCAAGACGACCGAGCAATTGCATTGCACACGTATGTATGTATGTATGTAGACAAACACACACACATACACTCATACATTTATAGTTATAAAATTTAGAAATTCGTAGACTCGACGCTGCTGCATTCCTTGGTAAATCAGTTGGAATGTGTAATGTAAGTAAAATAGCGGAAAATGACAATGAAAAAAAGAAATATCTAAAAACATTTGTTTTTTTCTTCATTTCCTTTTGCTACCAACTCTTCGGCTTTACGTCAGTCCACAAGCCAAAAAAATAGTAACTAAATGCACTGACTGCCATGATTTTGCTGCGCTTTTGGGCAAAGTTTTTTTTTATTTTTTTCATTATTTTCTTTTTTTATTGCACACTACAACTGTGCATACGTGTATAAGAAACCCCAGCGAAAGTAAAAGCAACAAAATAAAGCTGGCAGTGAGACGAGTAACCCTCGCCCCGCGTCAAAACCAAACAGGAAACATAAGCGAGGTAAAGACTTTGACTCTTTGGTTATAAAAAATTCACAAAATATCAAAAGCAGCTAAGTTAACGACATACACACATACGAACAGACATTTATACATATATGCTAGTAGCTAAGAGTGCATTTATTTAACCGAAAAATTATATTTTCTTGATTTTTTTTTTTTGTATTCTTCACTTGCAAGGTTGTGTGAAATGTAGCAAATGTGGAAAATCAACAAAGTGACTGTGAAAGATCAAAGTAGCCAGAAAATGTCGTAGGCACCGTATAATAATTATTGGGGCGGAGAGAAACAGTTATATGAACATATGTACAATACATACGAGTGTGGGTTGAATTGGATATGTACGTGAAGTGAGTGTATGTTGTGGCAACAGTGCTTCCAGTACGCGTCTGCATGGGCTTGGAGCGTTCAGAATTGGAAATTAGCCAAAGAAAACGGCAAGGAGGGCGCATAAATAATAAATGATAAAGAGGTAGCAGCAATGTCACAAGTTAAAGGGCAATTGGCGTTGGAGTACTTACGTCTACTACACTAGAATTGAAAGCTTAGCACATACGTTTAGGATGAGTTGGACATGTTGAAAGTTTTCCCAAATCAACCGCGCATATGAAGCTTCCATGTCTTAAATAATATTATGTATTGGCCACAGCAGAAATATGTATGTATGTATTTATAGCCACAAACTCAGACGATCCGCTATCCGGCACTTTATTTGAAGAAGACCCAGGAACAAATACAGGAGTCCAGAGCAGCACTTACGCAGTGCAGTTCGTTTTAAGATCCTGAACTGACCTTAGTGAGAGGTATTAAATACCGTTAAGGGAAATAAATAACAAACCAAACTAGAATAGAACAAGCTCATTATATTTGAGAGAGCTTTATGACCGTCTCATAAGCTCAAAACTCTACTGAACAGTAAAAGTTTGGCGCGATTCTCAAATTTAATTAAAACTTAATCACTAATTTAAAAAAAACATTACAAATCCTTGGCAGCACTGAATATATACATACATACATATATAGTTCGTACTTTATAACCGCTGAAGCGATTTTCGGCCGAGCTCCTTCTCCAGTTTTTGGTATGCGTCTTGATGTCTTTTCAACAAATGGATGGACCTACAATTTATACTAAGCCGCCTCTGATCGGCTGATGGGTTCTTTAAGAAGAGCTTTATTTCATGTCAAAAATACACTCGGAAGACTTGACATTCGCTGTCGAGGTGCGGAGGTAATTAGAAAAATTAATTCTCTATTATATTGCGACAGCACTGAAGATTTCAGATATTTGACTCCGAGCGCAGGATGATTGTTAAAAACCTCAAAGAACTTACTGGTCTTAGACCAAGCATCCAACTCGCCGAAAGCATCCAATTCGTGATTGTTTTAAGGGTTTAGAACCCACAGTTAATAATTCACTCCAATGACAAACAACAAAATACTTCGCTTGAAAGACGCACATCATAAGAACGGATAAAACGGATCACGAATAATTGACTAAAGTCTGACAACACTGTCGTTCGAGAAGTGTGATGAACCTTATACGAATACGGAATAAAGAAGCGTAAACGCAGTGTTGATATTGTAGTGGAAGGGACTCTGGAGCCAAGTCCTGGTATTCACCTCAATCGTGCTCGGCGATTTGCCTCGGCGCAGAGGCAAAGAATATTACGGGAAACAATCGGAAACATGCCTTAGTTGCAACTAATCGACTTCGGCGAAGGCCAAAATATGGTTGTCCGAACAAAATTCATTAAGCCGCGCTGCATAGAAAACCTGATAAGAAAATCGATGCATGACTTACAGAAAAACTGCGTATGCTCCGAGGTCTTGAAATCGACTCGAGCCGATACCAACGTCGCAACCAAAAGAGAGAAACCATCCTATATGCTATAGAGAACATAGCACTACAAAGACTACTACACTTACCTGCAACTCGATATAAGAAAGCTGTGGATCGGCATACCAAATCCACTACATCCCACCGCTGCATAAACAATTGGTTTCCGATAATTTTGAAGAAAATGGCTAATGCAATGAGAGCTGCTGTGGCAAGAAAATGGACTGTCTCGCTACATTTCGGTCGACCTCAACACATGTGGTATGGAATAGATACCTTAGGCTGAGGAGGGAAGCAAGACGCATTTGCAGACAAAAAAAGAAAGATGCTGAAATGCGTGAGTATGTACAGAGCATAATTATTGTATGAGAAAACACTTCACCAACCTGCTAAATTGTAGTAGAAACGCAACACCCAGCGATGGTGAACTCACATTCTTAATCGATGACGATGACACAGATGTTTGATATTGAGATAGAGAGAGGAGACGTGCGTACACTCCGAGGAGGATGACCCCATAACGACTCGCACCACTATCTTGTAGTAGTTGGAAAACCCAACTACCTCTGTGCAGTAAAGAACGTCCATTAACAAACACAAGGCAGGTTCGAAGTGCAAAGCTGCAATCGCAAAAGACAGCCGAACGGTTTTCTACTCGACTTGCACTCTTGCTTTCTGAGAGCGCTCTGAGAATTGCCGTGCCGCAGGAGAAGGAAAGCCGGCTCTCCACCTCGCAATGCTGAGGTCGACTACTTACACGAGTTGTGTAAGTATGAAAAAGGGTAATGCCCTAAAATTCAACGGCGATTTTCAAACCGGAACAGACCCTTGTAGTACACTGAGAGGTGATATAGTGACTGGTACCGAGAGTTTACTGAATTTATGTAGTGAAGAGTTACGAGTATCCAGTCAGTTGAATAGCAGTGAATATGCCACACCCGGAGATGACAAAACTGAAAAACCAATCGATTATGTTGGAAAAGAGGTTTAAATACCCGACTATGGAAAAATTCGAATATCGTTTGCCATATCAACTATAACATAGCGCCGGGATTCGTTGGCTTACCGGTTGAGCTATTCAAATATGGCTGTGAAGAACTGACAAGGTGCATGCATCAGGTTCTTTGCAGAATGTGATCACACAAAGTCCTGCCCCATGATTGGAACCTAAGTGTACTCGGCCATAAAAAGGGGCACATCACGGTTACACTTCTACTAACTGTCAGCATTCTTTGAGCAACCCTCTCCTCAGAAATCTTTGTTGGTCACTTTTGGAGTGTCCTTCTGGCAGGATTCTGGCAGATTAAATGCCTTGTGGATACTCACTTCATGCTCACAGGAATAATGGAGCCCATTCTTCTTCCAGCCGTTAAAAAAAACTTGGAAGCAAAATCTCATTTTGTTTTTAACTTTTTATTATCAATTTATTTTTATTTAATTAATTAATATATTTTATTATATTTTCAAAACATTTTTGTATTTCTTTTCTTAAGTTTTCGAAAATAGGCAACAAAATATCAATAAACAGACAGGTTCCTTCATAATATCAATGAAGATATTCTTCCGCACACTAGACTTTAACTAGTCGTTCTCGTAACTAGTCATTCTCAGAGTAACTAATAGCTATCAGGCTATCTATTTATATGTAATATCTGGTATTTGTATTGTTTGTATGTGTATATGCATGTATATATGTACATACATACAACTGTGTATCCCTATTCGAATATGTATGCATTTATTCATACCATAGGTAAACGTAGTAAGGTTTGGGTGGGTGGGATTAACTGTATAGTTGTGCATACGCTAACGAAAGAACTCCAACAAAGTTTTAATAGTTAATATTTTTTATATTCATTTTCATTTCGAAAATTCTGTTGCGTTTATGTCTCGGGATACCGACAATAGGAAGTACTCTCCACCAATTCGCGTGGTATCCAATCCTCGTAGAGAGGCAAACGATTCTTTAGTGTCTCAACTTCGCGTAAAATACGTACTACATTTCCGCCAATGAGCTTCTTTATGGCCGCATTACCCCAAACACGATCGCGTGCCAACTCTGCGAGTAGAAAAGCATAACTTTTGGGCGCACCACCGAGCCCAATGTGATCAACACCAGCCACCTTGCGCACATAATTAATGGCGTTTATGGCTTCGCGTACAGAGAAACGTCGCTCGTCGCAGCGCTCTAAATTCAGCATTATGACGCCACCATTATCCGATAGCAAACTAAGGAAGAAACGGAGACATGGGTAAGGAAAGAGGATGGAAGAGACAAATAGCATGGCTTACCTCAAAACACGATCTGGTATGGAGGCAACGCTGGAGCTATTGCAGAGCGAAATCGGTACAGCGTTCAAAAGTAAAACTGGCGCTTTGGCAGTATGTAATGCAGAGATCATAGCTGCCTCGGATAGTTGGGAGATCTCTACAAGCATACCTAAGCGATTCATCTCATAGAGAACCGTCTGAAAGAAAAAAATGTAATGAAAGTATTTATCTTAGTATCCTTCTCTACAGCTACCCACCTTCCCAAACTCATTGATTGAATGTGTAGCGTTTTCCTCGAACAAGTAATCATGACTGCGTATGCAAGCTGCGGCCCACGGTGTTGTACATTCCAAGCTGGTAATCGATACGAAGCGTGCGCCGAGCAAGTACATCGAACGCAGTACTGCCAAGCTTGCGCCTAAAGTATGACCCCCACCTAGACCCAGCATTACGGCGACTTCGCCACGTATATGTGTCTCTTCCATTTCATCTGCCGATAGCACAATGTGCAACGCATCTGTGTTGGCAGTAATACGTCGAGCTTCATCGATACCCTCTAAGGCCAATTGCACTGCGTCCAGATACTGTGCTCCACATGGCACTGAAATTGGCCAAAAGACAGCACCAACATGATTACGGCGTACCTCGTTCAGCAAGCCAACACTGCTACTGCGATTAACAGCGTTACGCGTAGGGGGTTGCCAAGAGGAGCCTTCAATCAACGGTGACTCGGCCAATAGACGACGTATAAAAGCCAAACGCGCCTCTAAAAGTGATGAAGAACGTAATTGCAATGCCAAAGGAATGCCACCAGCCATGGCTATGCAAAGCAACATGATACCAAGCACTACGATCACACGACGATTTCGCGTCGAATGACTGGGCTCACTACCTGTATCACTACACGCGCTCATCTTGTATGCGGCTGCAGCAATAGCGCCATTCTTCAACTTTTCACTGCCGAGTTTCGTAATCTCAGGCGGTAGTTCAATATCTGCAATCTCTGTGAAAACAAAACACTGTTGCTTGCAATGGGGCTGATGCTCGTGTGGTGGTGGTGGCGCCTTCAGTTCGTGTGGGTGTGGGAGTTGTACGGGCGGTGGCGGTGGTGGTGCTGTGTTGCTGAGTAAAGTATTAAGTGCAACTGCTTGATGTTGCTGATGATGCTGGTGATGCTGGTGTGGGTGCTGATGCTGTGGATATTGGTGCTGTTGGTGATGATGTATGGCGGCAGCACACACTTCTATATATTCACGATTTGGCACGGGGTTCATGCTGCAGCCATTAAATGAATGATTTAGCGAAGCAATTGCTATTGAAATGAGCTTACACGGCTCCGAAACTGTTAGTACTCAGTTGCACACCTTTTGTGTTGTTGTGGAAGTTTAAATTTTTATTATCTAATTAAATTTGATTGATTATTTACCAACAAATGAAATAAAACCAATGGCACTTACACTTCTTGCTGTGAGGAAAAAAACCTTATCGATTTTTCATTTGACATTTATCCTGCTCCTGCGCATTGGAGAGCGGAAAATTTATTTCCAGCAGGACGAAGACAGTTGGCGGATCAGCTGTTGAGGACTTAATTTTGTTTACATACCTTGAAAACTCTTCTGGCATACACTGGTCTTGACTTCTTGCTGTTGTACAAACAACTTCTTTGATGGTAGAGAACTTTCTAAGAACGAGTCTACCAGAGCGCGACAGTAGTTTACTCTATATTAAAGTTAAAGGCTCTTCAGAAATCTATTTGACATCATTTTTTGATCAAATAAAAATAATAACTAAATGTAACTGCTTAAAAAAGTGGTTCCGTTTCAATTCCGATGATTTCTCGGCAAGCAACTAAACACTATTGTGAATGGACGCAACTCGTACAGAGAACGTATAATCAAAGAACGTATAATATACGTTCTCTGCGTATAATATTGATAAACGTTCTCTGACTAGTAAGCAGAAAGACGTGAGATCAGCTGTTGTAAACAAACCATTGCACGTGTAGTGTTCAGCTCAAACATATTTAATTTGTGTTAAGTAGAAAATATGCCAGAAATCGAAGGATATAAAGGTGAAATGCATAAATATTTGTATATGTTTTATATATAATATACAAAATCAACTTTTTCCTTTAGTGGTACCACTGCGACTTAGTGCAGATCGGCCTTTGGAACTGTGTCATCAAATTTACATGCGTGAACACTTCATACGTCTTGAAGATACAGATAAACCAAAAGGCCGCACACTCTTCCTGCTGAATGTACCGCCCTACGTAACGGAACAGAGTCTTGGCACTTTCTTTCGTACCAAAGTGGATATTCCAAATAAAGTAAGTTTTGCCGAACGACCTGGACGAAATGAAAGTGAAAAATGGCAACAACACTATATACCATTCAGCAGTCCAACAGCACCATTTAAATTTAAAGTTGCGTATGTTGTTTTTCATAAAAACACTGGCGTAAAACGGGCTCTGCAATTAGACAGCATTGATTTATTTAATAGTGATGGTAATTGTGTGCTGGAATCCGGTATGCAATTGTGGCATCTTCAATATCAGAAACATATCTTGAATGAAAAGGAACTACAGGCGCGTATTGATAAGTATATGGAAAGCTATGATAAACGTGAACAAGAAGCATTAGAAGCGGCTAAGAACTCCGAAGCAGATGCTGAAGGTTGGGTTACCGTGGGCAAGCAAGGTCGGAATGCCGGTTTCGAGCAGAAAGAATCAGTTGTTGGACGTTTAGAGGAGAAAATAGTGCGTGGCAAGAAAAAGAAGGAATTAGAAAACTTCTACACATTCCAAATACGTGAATCCAAGATGAAGAACATAGTTGAGTTGCGCAAAAAGTTCGAAGAAGACAAGCAAAAAATTGAAGCGCTTAAAAAGACAAGGCGTTTTAGACCTTTTTAACCTACATAGTTTTAAGAACTCATTTCTTCTAGTTAAAAGCTCTTATTTAAAATTTATAATTTTTATTTGCAAAAAAGTTTTAGATTTAATAAAAATAAATAATCTAAGTCACTTAAACTGTTTTATTTGCTTTTATAACCATTGTCATAAGCGGATGTGGCGGCAGCGTTTCCAATGTACACAACAACTGTGGTATATTTCCGTACATGCAATTGACTTTTATTGCGACCTGCACTGCTTGTGCCAATCTTTCTACGCTCTTTTGGTATGCTGCATCTTTTGTGGGTTCTACATTATCAGTCTGCAAACGTGCTACGTAAGCTTGTAGTTGCGTCACCATTTGTGCTACATGTTGTGCGTTTAATGCTGTTGGTGGACCCGAGTTTACTATCTGTAGCATCGTTTGTAAGAGCCATAAATGTAAATTACTATAAGAAATGCGATTAGAAAACATGGGCGCAAGCACCGCCCAACGTAGGAGTCCAGCTAAAGGCGTAACAACGGGCATTGCAATGGCACCACTTGGTAGAGCTAAAGGCTGCTGCGATGCCAAACACAAAGAGGGATTTTCGCTTATCCATTCGGTGAATATATCTAAAAGTGCATCTGGTGGTGGCGTTAGTGCACTATTTTGTTCATTCATATATAAATCTGCTACGGTTGTCATAAGGTTGGCAGCAAAATGAGGAGCAACCATTGGCAACTGTTTGAATTGTTCAGAGGTTTTTCGTGAAAAGGTAATAAAATCACTAACCAAACTTTGTGCTACTTCCAAGCTTGGTTGATTCATACAACCAACTTGTTGCATCCAAGTACCGGCGGATGATAGTAATGGTGCGACTGAGCCAGAAACTGCAGTACTTACTAAGCGACACAGGATTTTAGAACGTTGAGGTGTAAGGTTGCTACCAAAGAGTGAAAGGAATACTACGTTGCGCGTAGCATCTGGTCCAGGTTGAGAAAAGTACTCGATAAGTACAAGTATTAATTGAAATTCTTGAAAAGAATTCAATGGAGAGACTGGTAATGGTCCTTTTCGTATATCCACTTGATCCTTGGATCTCTCCATAAAAACAAACTCTGATATGAGTTGTATGGCAAAGTTTTGTTTACTTCGGCTAACAACAATGGTCTCTGCAAAATAAAAGCGATACAAAATTTCGCCAAATTTGTTATTGTTACTTTTTACCTATTCGTGGCAGCGCTTCCTTTGCGCAAGCTGGAAAATCCAGCTTTCGTAAATTGTGTTTAACATCGGCCTGCGACATGTTTATTTCAATAAAAGTAAATTTATTTTTGAGTAACGGCAGCAAAGATGTAAACAAATACTGGAAACAAAATTATAAGCGAACGTCTAAATAATCGAACCATGTCGTATATCGATTGTAAATGTCGATAATTAAATATTTTGATTACTTCATTTACGGCGATTCTTAGCAGATGGTGGATAGAACTTTTTTTGATTGCACGATATTTCCAACATTGGCTGCAGTGGAAAAAACGCCAATACACTGACACAATGAACATTTTTATTTTTTCTCCGTTTATTTTTATATAAAATAACTAAAAATCTCATAGATTAAATAAAATCCAAAACTACCCGCGTCAATTGGGTCTTTATACCGGAGTGACCCGGGGAATATATCCGCAAAAACCTGCCAAGCAATGCATTTATAAGGTTTGACCTTGCAATAGCTTAACAATTATTTCTTTGAGTCAGTATCTTGTCGTTTGATCCGAATATATTTATACGCATGTAATTTTTTCCTTCCATTTTTCAATTAAGGTCCACTGTGTTTCGATAATACCACTGCGTTTCCAATATAAATCTATTTTTTATTGAACTCCGTGAATAGTGAGTTGTAGTGAGTGAAAACATTATTTAAGTCTGAAATATACAATTTACAATTAATTTCACCAGCACAGAGCAAGTGAAAATGTCTACCGCAGCTGCAACTCAGCATCGACCACTTGGATTTATTGGTCTGCATACAGAATTCACAGTAAGTTTTATGAAAAAAATAAACATAGTACCGGTATGCATTATAAACGTCTTTCCATTTTCAGAAAGCGCTTAATGAGGCATTCCAAAAACAGGACGCACAAATTTTACGCTCATCCTACGAGTCGTTTGGTGCTAACACGGACCATGACAAAAAGTCGCCAATGGATCAAGCATTTCGCGAAATGCTACTTTTCCGGTTAAGTGACAATGTCGAACAGGTGGGTGCGCTAGTGCGTCTCTCTGTAGAAGCAGTACGTGCAGAAATTGTCTCGGTCACTATACCTGTTGTACTATTGGGTGACATTTTCGATGCAGTCACACTCGATAAGTGTGAACAAATATTCAGTTTCGTTGAAGAAATGGTTGAAGTTTGGAAGGAGGACATATTTTTTTCATCATGCAAAAATAACATATTAAGAATGTGCAACGATCTTTTGAGGCGTTTGTCACGTGCACAGAATACAGTGTTTTGTGGACGCATTCTATTATTCCTTTCGAAATTTTTTCCGTTTTCTGAACGGTCGGGTCTCAATATTGTCTCGGAATTCAATCTGGACAATGTCACAGAATATGGTGTTGATGGTAAAGATTTAGATGACACTGTAGAGGACACCGTGGAAGATATTCCCATTAAAATTGATTATAATCTGTATTGCAAATTTTGGTCATTGCAAGATTTCTTCCGCAATCCCAATCAATGTTACAGCAAAGCGCAATGGAAAATGTTTCAAGCTGTGCGTAAAACAAATAAAATCTATTTGTATTCCATTTGTTAATACTCTATACTTTATATACAGCACGCTGGTACTGTTTTGGAAGCTTTTGATAGCTTCAAGCTGGAGGAACCCCGCCTTAGTAGTGCGGCAGACAAAACAGATGGCTCTCTTATGACTGGTGATTATTTGGAAAGCATGAAAATGGAGTTGGCAGCCGACTCTACAGCAGGAACAGATGAGTTAAAGACCAGCGATGCCGAGCAGATCGTACGGCAGTCGGATCACTTCTTCGCAAAGTTTCTAACCAACCCGAAATTGCTAACATTGCAATTGTCCGACTCAAATTTCCGACGTTCTGTTCTCGTGCAGTTTCTAATACTTTTCCAATATCTACAGTTGACTGTTAAGTTTAAGACGTGAGTTCAGAACACATATGTATTATACTTCCTCATTTAACAATTTTTGCAAAAATTCTTCCAGTGAATCAAATACACTGACCACAGCTCAAACAGATTTCATTAAGGAAACCGAAAGCAAAGTGTATAAATTACTCGAGGAAACACCACCAAATGGCAAACGCTTCTCACGCACAGTACAACATATGTTGACACGCGAGGAAATGTGGAACAACTGGAAAAATGATGGCTGCAAAGAATTCCGCAAGCCTGATGAAACAGAGACAGAGAATGGCTCAAATAAGGATGCAAACAACACAGATTCTTCCGCGTCCAAACCACCAGCAGCGAAACGGCCTAAACGCACACTAGGCGATAGCTTACGCGATGCGCATCGCAGTGGAAAATTCTTTCTTGGCAAGTAAGTACCTATAACTTTCTAAAAACAGATCTTTTGTAAGCCTTCCATATTTCCTAGTGACGTGCTCACAAGGCTTTGGAATTACTCGCCCGACAATCTGCAGGCCTGCAAAAGCGAAGAACGTAATTTCTTGCCACAAGTAGAAACATTCCTCGAGAATCCACATGAAAAGAATGATCCCTCATTTGAATGGCGGGCTCTACGCTTACTCGCACGGCAATCGCCACACTTCTTCACCTTTTTAAACTCTCCGTCATACAAAATAGCTGATTACCTCGAGGGTGTGCGCCGTCGATTGGCTAAAGATCGTATAGACAATGCGAAAGCAGCTTTGAACGCAAACAATGCCGCAACAGCTGGAGGTGGTGGTAATTCGTCGACCGAATCGAATAACACAAACGAATCCAACAGCGATGAGCAGGGTTCTAATAATCAAGAGGGCGAAGGCGATGGCGAAGCCGATGGCGATGGTGAAGGTGAAAATGATGGTGATGGCGATGGAGATGCAATGCTAACGGAGGAAGATGTGCAGGGTGATTTAGACAAGGGCGATGACGATCGTAATGATCACACCAAGCCGATGACCGCGAGTAGAGAGCAAATAGAGGAAATAGCGCCACTAATTGGAGATGATTGGAAGAAATTGGGCAAAAAATTGGGCTACACCGCTGACGAGCTGCTCTACTTCGAGACGGAGCATCCAGATCGTGATGGTGGCTGCATTGCAATGCTGAGCAACTGGTTCGCCGATGACGATGACGCTAGTCTCGATAATTGGGCGTATATGCTGGAGGGTTTGGAAATAAATGCTGCAGCAAAAGCAGTGAAAGCGCTCGTAGATCGTCTCACAAACAAAGGTGACAAAGTAGAGGTGGTCTCAGATTGAGCAAATAAACAAATATTTTTAATCATTTTTTCTGAATACAACATTGACGTTGCAAAATCACAAAAAAGTTAGTTTCGATTTAGTTTATGTTTTAATAATCTTCCAAAAGTCAAGTTTACAATAATAATTTATCACATGTACAGGGTGTGTATGTATACCGCTGTTTACGTTAACATTAACTCGTCCATCTATACTCTTGGCGGTCCACGCAGAAAATATTGGACTCCGGTCGGTAGCACCCATGAGGCGAATCGCGTATCCACGTTACTGTTGTCTGCATTCGTTAGTTACTATGAGATTAAGTGTTTTTTTAGGTATGCGTGTGCATGTCATTGTATAAAAGCTGATTTTCGTTTGAAGAGCCGTCTATCTTCTTCGTTGCGTTCCTTGTGCCGGTTTCGGCTTGTTGTGCAGCATAGTAGCGCAACGAGGAATATGCCGCTCAGCTGCCGATTCATTAAAGCGACGCGAACAATGCGGACACTGTATGTAGTCGGGATTCTCTGAGGGTGGCGGGGGTGGTAGATCACTCAACTTGCCGCCGCGTGCCAAATGCGCTTGTACTTGCTTAGCGGCGCGGATGGCTTGTATGAATTCTTCGTGTTTCTTACGCCAATTGTTCTTTTTCAAACCAGCTGACATGCCACTAGCTGCGGCAGCGCTGGAGTAACCTGATTTGCCGCTGCTGCGTGTTTGAGCCTTCTTGACATATTTTTCCGCGTCAGTGCCGCGCAAACGATGTCGGGCTGCATCGAAAATCTTACGCTTAGTATGAGCCATCTTTTCGCAGATCTTTTCGTGCTTGGCAAGACGTTCCGCATTAAAGTGACGGTTACAATAACGACATAGACTCATATTGCCTGTATCCATATCAGCCGTGGACGGCATGCGATGCTGAGTCTGAAAAAAATAACTCATTAGTGGAATATGTAAAACGCAAGCTCGTGGTAAAACTCACATTAGAAGTCATGCTACCCGAAGTTCGTCTAGGCGGTGTCTAAACGTAAATTTAAAAAAAAAATGTTACTGTTAATTTAATTTGAAAATAAAGTATGAAATGAAAAGTCGTAGCGAAAAATTTTGAAATTTTGAAATAAATCGAAGCGGACGCATCAAAAAGCTTGAAAAACAAATGCCTACCTTCAGTGAAATTACAGCAGTACGCTGTTTCGGGGTTTTGCTGTTCGAGCTCGGTCTCGACACTGGCGTCACGCGTGTGCTTGGTGCTGCAGGTGTGGTATTAGTTATACCTTTGGCGACTGGTGGTGCCGGCGAGGGTGACTTCTTGGTCACAACCGGATTGAGTTTAAGGCTATTCGACGATTTCACACGTCCCAACACGTCGTTATTATTGCGTTCAACCGGCGATTGTAGGCCCAAACTAAGCGATGACATCTCTTTGGTTAACGCCTCAGTATTACCATTTTGCATGCGTTTCGTTGGATTACGCGACTGCGTGGTGTTACCAGATACATTGGGTGAAACACGCGTACGAACTGTCGTCGTATTGCCATTCCTCGTATGCAATGTGTTATGTACGGCGCCACCAGCTTGACGTACAACAGACGTCGTAACCTTGGATGTTGCGGCGATGGGTTTAAGGGGGTTGGCACGATCGATGCCCGCACCACGACGACGATCATCGAACATTTGACGTACCTGTAATGGTTGCGGGGAGGGTAGAGGAGGAGAAATTACAATATTTTAAACTTCTGCATTATGCAAATACATAACGTCGTTTACCTTGCCATTTGTTATCCGTTTGGTTTCCGCCACTTCATCCACATTGTTGCCGCTCTCATCGGTCATTTCTATACGTCTTTGTTCACGCTCTTGTTGTTGTTTCTGTTGGAAACGCATCTGCAATCAATGAAAACAATAACACATTTTTCTAATTAATAAAATTTCAATGAACACAAACTCATTTTCAAATACAACAACTTCAGCCTATCATGACGCTTTTCGCCCAAGTTCAGTGGTTTTTCCTTTCTAAATAAATAATATTTAATTTATACTGCATGCGTGTACATATGTAAATATGTTTGTATATGCCACAGGGCACATAGATTAGCACTTTAATCGATTGTCCCAAAACTCACATCGAACGTTGAATTCAAATCGGCTGCGGGCGGCAGGTGACTGAGCGCCTCAACTAATCTGCGTCCAGCCCACGATTCGCTCAACTTAACCGGCGGTATAATTTGATCATGTAACAACTCCAACTCATTATTCGGACTAATTGTCGCCATATTACCGTTGCTGCAGCAAATACCAAATGAGCCTCTGGCTATGCGCTCGCAAAGCAAAAATTACATTCACACACTTTAGATACTAATTTGCAAACGCTGACTTATAAATTATATGTATGTAAGTATGTACATATGTACTCTTAGGTATGTATGTATGTACTGATGTGTGGGTAAATAAAATTGCCGCGTCGTATGGGTAGGTAAAGCACGTGTCCTTCCGTTGATGGACAAAATAACACTAAATATGTGGACAACTTAGTGGGAATCGCTGTCTCTCACCGCTAAAGCTCACAAGCTGAAAGAACTCATTACTCACGCGTCACATTATTTGGTCGCCAATAAGCCAACACATTGCAACAGATATCACCCACCCGCAGCGGTGGCCAATCACTGGTGACCAGTGCCTATCAATAGTATGTACATATGTTTAGTATGTATGTTATGTATATAGTAATTAACAACAACAAAGATATAGAAGAATAATAAACAAATCAAAATGGAAAGTCACATACGGGTATTTATGTATGTATGTATGTATGTATGTATGTATGTATGTATGTATGTACACAATGCAACGCACGTGACATACAAGTGAAAATATCGCTTGGCACTACATACCTGCATACATACATACATACGCGCATATGTATAATATGTACATATGTATATCTCACATTTAAATATCTTGCCACTTACATTCCTTCCAAAGTTGCGTTCCTTGGGCGCGCAAAGGAGGCGCCTCAGCGATTTTGTCAAACTATTTGCGTCCGTTTTGCCAACAACAACAACAAAAGAAGAAGCGCTCACACCAACAACGATAACAACAATGAAAGTACAAAAACAACACAGCTCTATGTAGTACTTAGTTAAGAGCAATTAATGGCATGGAATTCAAAATCTTTTATAGGAACTAAAAGTACTTTGACGTTCTTCAGTTCTTTAGTTCTTCAATTTTTCACTGCTTCTTCCGCCTCCAGCGTAAATTGTTGGAGAATTGTTGGAGCACAGAAGTGTCCGTTTAAGTGGTTCCTCACAAGACAGCTTTGGCCTTCAAGTAATCGAACAATAAACGCTTCGTTGTATGTATGTGCAGCTCTGTGCCTGTGTGTGTGTGTGTGTGCAATATGAGTATCGCGACCCACTGCCAATCGATAAAAGACTTTGAAGAAAGCTATTTAACGTTTGAAAATTAGAAATCTAAACACAATCACCACATTTATCCCTACACACATACATATGTACGTATGTGAATTTATTGTACTTAATGTGCTTCTGCTTGTTTAACGAGTACTTGTGCCGGGGCAACGGTGTCCATAGGATATATATATGTAGGCGCATACAAACACACAATCATGCATACATACATATATACATTCATATAAAAGTGCATAGTTATAAGCGTTGTCATGGTTGGGCATGGTATGTATATATGTATGTTTGTATGTATGTATATGGCCCACACTAATGAGTCCCACGTTGTCATTTGCTTACACTACACAGTACATACATACATACGTATATATTAGAATATTGAAATGCATTCAAACAGACTGTGTGGAATCAATGTTGTGTGACTATTTAATTTTCTTTATTTATTTACTTTTTTCGCATTTATTTATTTTAATTTTTTTATATTTAATTTATTTAGAAAATGTGTTTTCCTCGAATCAGAAGTGAAGCAGTGAAGTTTTATAAAAAAAAAAACTTTATCTACCCACATACATTGCTAGCTCTGCTAAATGATAAATAAATTACAATAAAATCCCACCACCATGAGGAAGTAGTCTCCTTAAAACTCGAAGAAAAAACGTTTTCTTCAGAAATTTATTTGAACGGGAAGGAAATTATTGCGGTAAACGAAATTTTCAGACAATACTGTATTACATTTAAACTTAAAAAAACAGCTTTAAAATTAAAAAAAAAAATTAAAAAAATGTTGTTATGAGTTTTGTGAAGCGGCTGCAGTTTGAAGGTCCGGGCGTTGCATGTGAAACAGTCGAGCCAAGTTTTTTTTTTTTTTTTTTTATGAGCGTGTCTTCTATTAGAAGTAAAAAAAACACCCAAGAAGTAGGCAAATTCCAAAATAATCAGAAGTTCGAATTTATTAAAAAAAAAATCGCTTCAAGTTGCAAAATAAATTGTCCAACTTTTTTAGTTTAAATAGAAGAAAATTTAATACTAAAACTAGATCACTTTTCGATCGGAAATATATTCCTTTTAGCTATCATCGGCACCGTTTTTTTAAGACTTGTCAAAATTAAAACTCGCGAAAACGCGCTTCAAAGTCTGCCCGAGCCTCTAAAATATGAAGCCTCTAACAAGGTAATGCTTTAAGGAGTTACAGGGGTTAAAGCTTACATAACAATTCTTATTAGATAAACTGTAGTGCATCGGCTTTCGGCTGACTTCTTTATTCAGATGCGGCGAAGAACATCGGATGCCTTTAACAAATTATAAGTTTTAGAGATGTTTTCAGCTGATGGTATTCTTAATAAATAATTAATAAAGTGGTTTGTTCTTGAGTTTTCCAGGGCGGGGGAGGCGGTAAGCAAGTGCTGAATGCTGACAATGGAATGCGAAGTCTGTTGTAGACCCAGACTAATTTGGAGGATTTAGTTGCTTCAAGGAAGCGGTCTTTGTACACACAACTGGGCGATTTTGGCTTTTTGTAGTTTCATAAGGTCGATGAGAAACGAGGATTCTTTTACTCTCCAATAATGGTCGCCACGGCTACGCTTTCACGACTGTATGATTTTTATGATATTTGCCATGACCAAATCGCAAAGTAACTTCATGAATCGCATCTTTGAGGTTTTCAATCAACTTTGACACGTTGGCTAAGACCTTACCTGTCACATGACCCCAAAGGAAGAAGCCGCAAGCTGTTAAATTACAAGATCTCGGTGTCGAATTGCTTTCACCACTTCGAGACAGAAGCTTTTCTCTTAAAAGTTCTATGGTCTCCTTGCTTGTGTGGCACGTAGTGCCATTTTGTTGAACGTAAGCGTTTTCCAAATTAATACCATTCAATTCCGACCATATAAAATCATTAATCATTTTTGGATAGCTCAATTCATTCACCGTAACTTTTGCTTCAACCTCGTTTCCGAAAAATTAAGACCCAATGGCTACGCCAGACCATAAACTGCACCAAGAGTGGCTTTTTAACAATAAATTTTACGTTTTTCTAGCCCCAAAATGCGACAGTTTTGCTTCTCGATGTCGCCATTGGGCATCATCAGTTAAACTGATTTTTCGATGAAATTTTTACAGTGAATTTTAATAATTTCAAGGCATTATTAAAGCATGTATTGTTTCATTTGTTTAAGTGACATAGTTTTTACTTGCCAAATGTGAAAAAGTTACAGCTTCAAAAGCGACATCTATCGTAATAACAGGCTGTTCCCAACAACACCTCTTATTGGAAAACCCATTATTTTATTCAAACTATTTATTTTCTTAAAGATAAACATTTGAAATTCAAAATCTCAAATTTTTAAAGAAAAATATTTATAACTACGCCATCGTGACGTCACTTCCGGAGATAACTCGATAAAAAGGTGCGTCTGCGTTGGCAGTAAAAGTCATGCAGGATCATGCGATGAGAAAAAAAGGATTATTGGCAGATTTTTTTTTTTTTTTTTTGTTAAATAAAAATGCAAATTTTGGTAAAATTTGCTCAACATTTTTCTATAAAAATATTCGCGATTGAAAAAAAAAAAACAATCCGTCGTTCAATGAAAATAATTCATAACTCTTACCTTGCCGCAAGTAGTTGAACGAATTTTTTTTATTTTTAAGCTTAATGAATTCGTTAATTTTCATTGCATTTCCTGCGAGCCATATGGTTTTGGTATTGGCATTGTCAGCCGCATAGCATTCTCCTTGCTACCACCCTAAGGGGCTTCTTTTAAAAATGCAACTATGTGTTGTTGAGTTTTTGGGCTTTTTTGTTGGGCTTATTAATAGCCTACATGGCATATGAATTATTAATTCATATTTGGCCTTGAACATCCATTTATTACAATCGTTAACTCTATGTATTGTACATACATATATATGTACATTAATGTGTCTTTCGATTGTGTTGTTGATGTTGAAAAATATATTTTTCTTTTAGTAATTAATTCAATTAACATATTCCTTTCAATGATTTTTTCATATTAATATAATTTCCAAGCTATTGATGAAGTGCTTCCTTTCATAAGACAGGCGAGGTGTAGATAGCTTATTATTACCAGGGTTGACTTTTATATATCGGGATTTTTTACTCTAATGAGCATACATGAATCATAATCGAAAATCGATTGTTTTTTTTTTTTGTAATATTTTCCATTAATATCTATAAATTCAGTCACGCGTTGGAATTAATTGTCGAAGCACTTAGGCCACGCTGATTGAGTTATCGCCAAAATATGCGTTCCGAACGCATCAACCTGCTCCTCAGGTGTCGAAAATGTTGAGCTCTCAGTTTATTTTCTAGGTATGGGAATAAAAAGAAATTAATCGAGACCATACGGTCGATGGCTCTTCAAATCGATGTTTTGAGGGCTCAGTTGGCGCGGGAGCGCACTCATTGTCGTGGTAAGGAGTGGTCCGTCCTCGGCGGTT